AGTTTAAGACATGATATCTTTGATGATTCATGTCATCACTGTCAAATTTGTCCTAAAATATTTTGCAAAATCATTAATCAAGAAAGTAAAAAATTTCATGTAAACTAAAAATATAAAATTTAACCAATAATTCGAGCAAACACAGCAAGTATCCAGAAGACCCTCGGTTCAAGATAGATAAAAGGAAAGGACTTGAAAATTATCAAAAAGGCAAATTAGTAATGCAGTCACTTTGCCATGAATTAATAATATAAACTAAATATGTATTGTAGCTCGCCATAAAATCTACAAAGGCAATTCATGTTTTAAACATCTGTTTATAGAATAGATTCTAAAACCCCTCCCTCCCACCTCTTGCCCCACCCCGTGGCAGACAAACACAAAAACAAAATGGATGTAGTCCACATTATGGCATATTCAAAGTTTAGAATACGTACTAGGTTCAGTTAAGATCTCTAAGTTTCATCAATGAACCTAACCTCTGTAATTGTTACATTTAGAGAGGGAAAACACAACTGTGTATGCACAGAGACAAGAAATGTGAGAGCTGCATAATTCCAATATTTTATTTAGATGCTAGAGTTCCCAAACCCAAGCAATTAAACCAAATAACTCACTGTCCTTGCCCATTCTAGGAGAGCCTTCTACTACTTGAGATACCAAAGTTCACAAAAGTACAAAGATCTTGGACAGGTAATAAACCTGTTATAACACTTTAAATATTTTCATGCGGCATGAAAGGAAAGTCCAAAGCTAGATATATTGGTAACATGAAAATTTAATAAGATGTAACTTTCTAGGTGTATGTACAATAATGAACATAAAAGCTACAACTATGAACGACTAGAGAAAATGTTCCTTTGTTTTCCATGTTCAAATGTTGTTATTTTGATGTGGTGAAGGTTAGAAATTTCAATTAGTAAGGATGACAGAGTGGGAACCCTTTGTTTCCTTACTAATTGAAATATTCCTGATGCCACTCAGTTCCTAATATCCAAAGCCACTCAGGACATTGCTTCATTCATAAATTTTGAACTATGGAAGAGAGGATCTGCTGCTATATATGGCCAGCTAAACTTCTCTTTCTCAAGAGTGATTTTCCAAATTATAACCCATGTCAAATTTTCCTGAAAAGAGCAATTCAACCAAGAAAGTATTGCATTAATAGTGCTTTAAATACTTACCGTAACAGCTTGCCACATGTGTTCCAGCTTATCTTCTCTGATGTCCTTCCATGAATGTACTTGCAATGGACACATATTACGATCACAAACTAATATACCCAAGTGTTTCGAAAATGAGGCTTGATGCTTCCCGACAACCCGATTGTGGTAAAGGTTGATTCTAAACTTTTCTCCAAGTTTGAGTCCTGCTACATCTTTATTCTTGTTCTTTACTCTCACCTTTTTTGGCTTTTCAGATTCACATAAATCTGTAAATTTTTAACATAAAATAAATTACAGTCTTATAACAAAAAAAAAATATTAAACTTGAGACCTTGCATCATTTCATCTTCTTGTATGAAGGCAGAAAACTAGAATGAAAAGTCTATATATTTGATGAGCCTCCAATGGAGTTTATATACAAAGGAAGTAACCAATTGTGCTAAGCTAACTCCTAGAAGGTAGGAAAATATAATCAGTACAAAAAACAAATTAACTGAAAAAGCTAAAATCCAGCGGATACTAAACTATAGCCTAAAGTAAGTGAACAAAGACACATTCAAACCTAACAGCAAGTGATAAGATGTAGTACATGGGCTATTACGCCCCCTCAAGTTAGGCGTGCAGAAACAACGCCTAACTTGGGAAGCATGCGTTGGAAGGCCGGCTTGGACAATGGTTTGGTGAGTGGATCTGCAAGTTGATCAGCGGAGTGGATATGCGATACGCGGACTAGACCACTGCAGACTTGGTTACGAACAAAGTGAAGATCAAACTCAAGGTGTTTCATTTTTGTATGATGTACTGGATTCTCGGCAATGTAAGTGACCCCAAGGTTATCACGAAGTATTGTAGGAGCAACAGAGAGCGGCACATGAAGATCTTTGAGCAAGTGTGTGATCCAATTTGTTTCAGACAAGGCAGAAGCAACGGCACGATACTCTGCCTCAGTGGAGGAGCGAGAGACAGTAGGTTGCTTACGAGAACACCAGGAGATAAGCGTTGTGCCTAGATAAACAATGTAACCAGAGATGGAGCGGCGATCATTGATATCACCCGCCCAATCCGCATCAGCATAGGTATACAGAGCAGTTGAAGGTTGTGGGGAAATACGAATACCATGCTGGGATGTTTCTTTAAGATATCGAAGGATCCGTTTAACTGCCTTCCAGTGAACCACAGAGGGAAAGGTGTTGAACTGAGTAAGCTTGTTTACCGAATAGGTGATGTCAGGTCGGGTAAACGAAAGGTACTGAAGCTTACCAAGCATAGACCTGTACTCTTTGCCATCAGTTTTAGGTGCTCCGTCATCAAGCAGTAGTTTCGTGGACGTGCTCATGGGTGACTGAACACCTTTGCAGTGTTGCATCTGAGTGTCATGTAACACCTCCTGTATATACTTAGATTGACTGAGAAATAATCCGTTGGCATCCCTGTATACCTCAATGCCCAAGAAATAGTGCAGTAAACCAAGATACTTTAGAGAAAACTTTTTCGAAAGAGAGGTAATTACATGTTGAATGAGTGTTTCATTACTGCCCGTGATTATGAGGTCATCCACATATATAAGAACATAAATAGTAACTCCCAGGTTGTGCAGAACAAAGAGAGAATTATCACACTGCGACATGTGGAACCACATTTGAATCAACGAGTGCATCGTACCAGGCCTTAGGAGCTTGTCGAAGTCCTTATATGGCCTTCTTGAGATGGCAAACATAGTCGGGATGATCCAGATTTTCATAGCCGGGAGGTTGTGACATATATACATCTTCATGAAGCTTCCCCTGAAGAAACGCATTGTTGACATCTATCTGATGTAGTGCCCAATTATTATGTACAGCAAGAGTAAGTACTGTCCGAATGGTGGTGGGTTTAACAATCGGACTAAATGTCTTGTGAAAATCAACCCCAGGCCTTTGGGTAAACCCTTTTGCAACTAAACGTGCTTTGTACCTATCAATGGATCCATCAAGAGTTAGTTTTAATTCGAAATAACCACTTACAAGGGACAACGTTTTTGGTGTGGTCTGGTGGAACTAATTCCCAAGTCTGGTTTTTCATCAATGCATCAAATTCAGCCTTCATAGCGTCTCTCCAATATGAATCTTTTTGTGCTTGCTTGTGAGTTACAGGTATTGGATGTGTTTCTAACTGGGAGATTTGTGCAGTGCAGTCAACGATCTTTCTTCTTTTGAAGATGTTGTTTTGTGACCTCGTTACTACACGATTTGGCTCTATTTGTGAAACATGAACAATGGGATCAGTGGGTCGGGACAAACTGTGCGATGAGTTTGGGCGACGCCGATAAACATGAGTAATTGGTGGTCGGCGAGTTGAGGAGATAGGTTGAGTAGAGGGGGCAGGGGGTTGGCTCTGGAAGACGAAGTGGGGCTGTAGGTTTTCATTAGCAGGTGATTGCTGTACATTAGAAGCAGAAGATAAAGAAGCAGTTTGAGAGTTGCAGATTGATCTGGCTGTGGGTTGTTTCCCTGTGCGGCACGAAGTGAGCATACATTTTGGCGTGTATCTCGCATCAACGGAATAATGGGGAGCAGCTGAGTGATAGTTGTATCAAATGTATTTTCTGGTTGACAGAAAATAGTAGGATTATTCTGATCTAAAAGAGTTTCCCAATTTAAAGATGAGAAGTTCTGTTTTAACTGAGAAAATATATTTTCAAATGGGAAAATATCTTCGAAAAATTTTACATCCCGTGATAGAAATATTTTGGAACTCGTGGGTTCAAAGCACTGATGCGAATGATGAGTGATGGAGAGTCCTAGATAAACACAAGGTTTTGAATATGGTGCTAATTTATTTTGGGCATATGGCCGGAGCCATGGATAGCAAAGACAACCAAATGTACGAAGAGAGTCATAAGCTGGTTTCTCATTGAATAGAACTTCAAAAGGTGACTTGTTATCAAGTGTGCTTGTGGGTAGTCGGTTTATGAGATATGCTGCATGATGGCAGGCAAATGTCCAAAAATTGGATGGTAAAGCAGCTTGATGAAGTAGCGTTTTGGCTGTCTCAATAAGGTGTTGATGGCGTCTTTCAGCCATGGCAACCCTTTGAGGTGTGTGGGGTAGAGAAACAAGGTGTTGTATACCATTGGAGTTGAGGTACAGTTCTAGGATTTGATATTCTCCTCCTCCGTCAGTGTAAAGGGTGAGCATTTTGTGACCAAAATGTTTTTCAAGCACAGGATGTATGCTTTGGAAAAAATTTTGAACTTCATTTTTGTTTTTCATTGTGTATAACCAAATGTATTTGCTATACTGATCAACTAAAAGACAATAGTATCTCTTTTTATCAATTGAAATCACTGGAGAGGGGCCCCGTAGATCGCTGTAAATTGTTTCTAATGGATATTTGCTGCACAAGGTGTTTGCATTAAAGGGAAATCTGTGAGCTTTATTGCAGCAACAAGAATTACAATAAGTAAATTTGTCTTTCGAAGAATATGAAAGACTGGAACTTTTTAAAATAGAAAATAAAACTCGAGAATGGGGTGGCCCAATCTTCAATGCCACAGATGTAAGGAAGGGCCAGCAATGGCGACGTTGATGGTAGGGCGAGACAGTGACGGCCATTCGTAGAGTCCTGCTTTATTCGGGCCGCACAGAAGAGGTGTTCCCGTAGTCAGATCCTTCACAAAAAAAAATATTAAAAGGAAAAAATTCGATTGAGGTCAGGCTGTCTTTGCAAAATTGAGAAACAGAAAAAAGCTTGCGCATGATAGCTGGAGCACACAAAATATTGGAAAGTTTGAAGTCAATATTTGATGCATGTAAATGAGTAGTACCAGTTTTAGTAATAGGAATCTCAATACCATTACCCATTGTTACTTCCCCAATCCCTTTTGAAGTCTTGAACATTGTGAAGGGAAGTAGTGTCAGAAGTAATGTGATGAGAGGCACCTGAGTCGATAATCCAGGGGTCAGTTGGTGGTGTTTGTGCAACAAAATTTGCCTTTGCTTCAAAGTGGTTATGGGAATGTGAGCGGCACACATTTGCTATTTGGCCAAGGCGGTCGCATAGTTGACACCGAACACGTGGAGGTTGAAGAGATTGGTTAGGAAAATTGCGCCAGTGGGGATTGGCGTTTTGATTGGACTGTCTATGTGGGGCACACCAATTGTTGTTATTGTTGGGTGGGCGTCGATTGTTGCGTGGAGCTGGTGAAGAATTCGTGACGCGTTGAGCAACAACTGATGTGACTTGTGTGGTAGTTTTCTTAAGGTCCTCATGTTTGAGAAATAGCTCATGATCAAGGAGCTTATCAAAAAGTTCCTCATAGCTGATTGGAGAGTCGCGTGCCCGTATGACTGCGGAGATCTCACGAAACTCTGGGCCGAGTCCGCTCAGTATTTTTACCACAAGTTCTTCATTAGCGACAGGAGAACCTGTTGTGGCAAGTTCATTATAAAGAGATCGAATATCTCGCAGGTATTCAACAATCGATTTGGTATCTTTGGTGACCCGACTGAGATGGTGACGGAGACTAAAGATGCGAGTTTGCGATTTGTTCGCAAACGAAGTTGGAGTTGATCCCAGACAGCTATAGAGTTGGCTGCAGAAGCGACAGTGGATGCAATGGTGGCATCAACAGACGCCATTAGAGCATTTTGGATCAGTTTATCTTGACGAAACCAATCCTTATACTTCGGGTTGGGCGTCTCACGGCTGTTGGTGGTGACTGTTTTCGGAGGAGATGGCGTAGAACCATCAAGATGACCATGGAGTAGCATGGCAATTTGGGCCTTCCATGTAGTGAAATTATGACTGCCAGACAATTTAATGGGCAACTGAGATGATGGGTTGAATTGGATTAAATGTTTGAACACAGTGGTGCTGTCAGCATTAGCAACTGGTGTAGAGGAACCCATTTTTGCAGAGGGAAAAAAAATGATCTTGGATAGTTTACTCGTTAGAGTGTTGTTTTGGCTCTAAGACCATATGAAGGAAGAAAACTAAAATGAAAAGTCTATATATTTGATGAGCCTCCAATGGAGTTTATATACAGAGGAAGTAACCAATTGTGCTAAGCTAACTCCTAGAAGGTAGGAAAATATAATCAGTACAAAAAAAAATTAACTGAAAAAGCTAAAATCCAGCGGATACTAAATTGTAGCCTAAGGTAACTGAATAATGACCCATTCAAATCTAACAGCAAGTGATAAGATGTAACAACAGTAGTACATGTGCTATTATCTTGAGCGATGGAAACATCATCTTCCATCAGATCGAAACTAGGAGGCATAAGATTAGTACTATTATGTGCTAGCTTATTCTGCTCAGAAGCTATTGAGTTGTGATTTTTACTTTCGCCAACCAGATTTCTCTTTCAATGCTTCCTTTTGCCGAGCCCGAAGATCTTAAGTTTTGCCCATGTCCCCTTGCTAAAGCACTATGTTGACTGTAAGTGTCTCGTACATTTTTTAAAGTAGCTCCAACTTCTGAAAATTTTGATTTGAGTAAAGCATAAAATAACTTCCAGTCTTATAACAAACAAACAAAAAATTAAAACTTGAGACCTTGCATCATTTCAGCTTCTTGAGTGAAGGGAATGTCGTCTTCCATAGTATCAAAACCAGGAGGCATAAGATTATTACTATTATGTGCTAGCTTATTCTGCTTAGAAGCCCCTGAGTTGTAATTTTTAATCTCGCCAATCAGATTATTTTCGCCAATATTTATTTTTGCAGAGCCCAAAGATTGAAAGCTTTTCCCTCGTCCCCTTACTAAAGCCGCAGGTTGAATGTTTACATGATGTACATTCTTCAAAGCTGCTCTTATTTCTGCAAATTTTGATTTATGTGAATCATAAAACCAATACCAGTCCAATTAGAAACAAAACAAAACAAAAATGATAACTTAAGGGACCTTGCATCGCTTCCGCGTTTTGAGTAAGGGGAACATCATCTTCGATCGAAGCGAAACCAGGGGGCACAAGATTATTAGTATGTGAAAGCTTATTCTGCTCAAAAGCTGTTGAGTTGTGATTTTTTTTTCTCCAATCAGAGTTCTCTTTTCAATACTTGTTTTTACAGAGCCCAAAGATCCAAAGTTGTGTCCTCTTCCCCTTGCTAAAGCACCAGGTTGAATATATGCATGATGTACATTCTTTGAAGTTGCTCCCATTTCAGACTTCTGAAATTTTGATGGATTCATGTCAACCTAAAATAAGATAAAAGTATGGAGTAATTGTTAGCTGAGAAAGATAAAAATCATTAAGACCAGTAATAAAATTATTTATCCACAAGAAATTTCCCGTGCCAATATTACTGATAAAAGAATTAATTTGTGTTAGAAAATACAAATAAAATACAACAAGGCTGTACTTGTAAAATCACATATTTAACAAGATATTGCAGCCATTTTCTTACAACAAAAACAGATATCAATATTAGTTCCTGTCAAAAAGGGGGAAAATTTATAGCCAACTGATGATGAAAGAACTTATCTGTGGTTAGAAAAACAAAGACAACATACATGATACAAGAAGGTTGTACTTGTAAAACCACACAGCCCAACTACATATTGTAGCCAATTTCTTTCAAGAAAGAAAGAGAAAACTATCATTAGCAGCACAAAATGTTCAACACTAATAAGATATGATCAAAGATAAATAAATTTTTCCATCTCATGAAAATAAAAGAAATAAAATTATTTGAACTTTTTATATTTATAATGCTTATAATATCTTACTGCTAAAAGTCCATTTTAACTGAAAATTCATGTCAAGTAAAAATGCAGCGCATTATATGCTTTGGAACAAGGATAAACTGATTGTACATTTTCTATTACTTCTATTCTACTTGTAATAATAAGACAAGAGGTAGTACGAGCCTTGAAAGAAGTCCGAGCATGATAAATATGTAACTTGTGTTGGCATTATTATAAAAGGAAAAAACAAAATGAGATTTATAATGAATCAATAGTATGCCAAATTATGCAGTTTTATTTTTTTTTATAAAGTAGAAATTTTATTCTGAATGTACCACAAGTTGGTACCAAACGAGTATATCAGACTACAGGGAGTACCCATAACAGTCGTTTACATTTTTATTCCTAGCAAGTCCAGAAAATCCATAACGGATTCATACTAACTATTAGATCCAATTAAACAGATTCATACAAATTATTAGTTCCAGTTATCCTAGAAAATCAAGAAGCAAGAGGCCTAAGAAAATAAATATTAACGGCATGCACTATAAAGGTCAAAAACCTTCATGAGTTATTTTCTTTTTCATTTGTGTAGAATTATTCAAATTCTCCAAATCGTCATCCTTTTCTTGCAAAATGCCCAAAGTATCACAAGGTAGAACTTTTCTTGCAACATGCCAACTTTATGTCATGACCCAAAAACTAAACCGTCGTGATGGCACCTAACCCAACCCGCTAGGTAAGCCAATTAATAAAATAACATAATATAATAACACTGATGTGAATCAAAGGTGAGATAACTGAATTTTATACAACTCTCCAAGGACTGGTAGTACAAATCATGAGCTTCTAAGATTTAGAATTTACAAAACTGATATGAAATAAAGTACATCATTTGTTTGAACTATACAGGAACACATTAAAACTCTAAAGCTACTAAGATCAAGAGGCAACTATGACCGGAACGCAGACACATCTTCAAATCCAGCTCCCGTTGTGCACAGCAATATCAGCATCCAACATCTGCACGCAAGGTGCAGAGGTGTAATATGAATACAACCGATCTCATGCACTCAATAAGTAATAAACCAAACCTTAGGTTGAAAGTAGTGACGAGCTGGGACAAGGGTCAGGGTCCAACTCCAATAACCAACAACAGTTCATAACAATATGATAAAAATGGTACACGAAATAATTCAGCCGGTTCACAATTACGGAAAATAGGCATGCTTTTCAAGTATAACAGTATATCCCACATCTTTCACCGAAAATCTCAAAAATATATGAATAAGTTTGAAAACTGTGATTTTCCCGGAAAAGAAAAATCTTTCAATAATAAATAAGATGTTTCATTTTTAGATAGCATGAGAAAAATACATCTCAATGACTATATGTCAATATACAAGTGAAATCATGAATATCACCAAAACTGGGTAGCATGAGAAAATGCATCTCTATGCATGTATCTCAAGTACGCATGTCAAATGCAATGCATCTCAATGATGAACTCATGTACTCATACTCTGAGAGTACTCAATCACTCAGTATTATACGGGGCAGGTCCAACCCAAGGAAGATCCACCCCTCAATATAAATAGTAACTGATAGTTAGTCACGCAGTATTGTATAGGGCCAATCCAGCCCAGGGAACTCCATCCCAAATATAAAAGTGCAGGAAAATTTCATGCCCAGGGAACTCCATCCCAAATATGAATATATGGGGCAACTCCATGCCCAGGGAACTCCATCTCAAATATAACATCCACTGCGCTCACTGTGGGTGTGCAGACTTCGGAGGGGCTCCTTCAGCCCAAGCGCTATAATAAGCAAGATCCAAGCATAAATAAATAAATTTATGTTGTAGCGTGCAGCCCGATCCCTTAATTATCACTCACAATCAGGCCTTCAGCCTCACTCAGTCAATAATCTCTCCAGTCTCTCGGGCTCACAATGCCCATCCTAAGCAGCCCTAATAAATGATACAGAATGTGACAATATACAATAACAAAGAATGAGACATGATATGAAATGATGAATGCGATTAAGTACATAACTACAATTAAGCACATAACTCGACAGCAAAGAACGACCACTGTGGGTCCTAATCGTACCAGCATATAGCCTAAACATGATTTCTAGCATAGATTACAACTCAAATACTCTAACACATATAGTACAATAAAAACGTTCAGATAAGATAGCTACACAATTCTACGGAATCAACTAAATAACAACTCACATGATTTATGCCCACACGCCCATCGCCTAGCATGCGCGTTACCTCAACATCAATCACATAACAGGTAATTTGAGGTTTCATACCCTCAGCACCAAGTTTAGAAGTGTTACTTACCTCGAACAAGTCAAATCCAATACCGAGCAGGCCAAGCAATGCTCCAAAAATGCCATCCCGTGCGTACCGACCTCTGAACGACTCGAAACTAGCCAAAACTAACTCAAATACATCAAGTAATGCCAAAGGAAACAAATACAATTAATAAAGGTCACATCTTTAATCAAAAGCCCAAAATCAACCCAAAAGTCCAACCTGGGCCCGCGCCTCGAAACTCGACGAAACTTATAAAATCCGACAACGCATTCAATTACGAGTCCAACCATACTAGTTTTACCCAAATCCGATTCCGAATCGTTCAAAACTCAAAAACTCACTCTATGAAACTTTAGGCTAAAACCCCCAATTTCACTTTAAAAATTTATAATCCAATTACCAAAAACGAAGATAGAATCATAAAATATAATCAAAACCGAGTATAAAACACTTACTCCAATCCTTGTGATGAAAGTTTCCAGAAAAGAATCGCTTAAATCGGATCTCCCCAACTCAGATGTGAATAAAATAGCCAAACCCTCGATATATAGCTTCTGCCCAGGTATCGTCGCATTTGCGACCCACTTAGCCGCTTCTGCGGCATCGCTTTTGTGGCAAGAGTTTCGCTCCTGCGAATGACCACTGGTAGCCTACCCTCGCACTTGCGGCAGAAAGTCCGCATCTGCGATCACGCAGGTGCGAGTTAAAAATGTGCTTCTGTGCTACAATCGCCTTTGCATTCCCAGCACCGCATCTGCGATCACACAGGTGCGGAAAATAACCTCGCACCTGCGATACTGCCCTGATCCTTCCATGCCGCTTCTGCGGCCACTGCCTTGCTTGTGCGACGTCATACCTGTGCCCAACATTCCGCAGGTGCGATCACACCAA